TTGTGACCAGCCGCCGACTGGATTTAACTCTGTTCACCACAACTCTTTGGGCCCGGCCATCCAGACAGTTTTTCACCCAGCAAAGAGTACACCCATCCAAGCCATGAGCAGCCAGTTACTCTAGGAGAATGCTGTGGGAAACCGTGTCAAAGGCTTTACTAAAGTCCTGGTAGACAACATCCACAGCCTTTCCCTCGTCCACTCAGTGGGTCACCTTGTTGTAGAAGGAGACCAGGTTAGTCAAGCAGGACCTGCCTTTCATAAACCCAGCTAGCTGGGCTGTCCTGTACGTGCCGTGTGATGGCACTCGAGATGATCTGCTCCATAACCTTCCCCAGCACCGAGGTCAGACTGACAGGCCTGTAGTTCCCCAGATCCTCCTTCCAACCCTTCTTGTAGATGGGTGTCACATTTGCTAACCTCCAGTCAACTGGGACCTCCCTGGTTAGCCAGGACTGCTGATAAAGGATGGAAAGTGGCTTTGTGGGCCCGTCACCGACTGCTGATAAAGGATGGAAAGTGGCTTGGTGAGCACTTCACCAGCTCCCTCAGTACCCTTGGGTGGATCCCATGTGGCCCCATAGGCTTGTGTGTGTCTAAGTGGTGTACCAATTTGCTAACCATTCCCTCTTGGATTATGGGGGCTTCATTCTGCTCCCCATCTGTGTCTTCCAGCTCAGGGGGGCTGAGCACTCCAAGAACAACGGGTCTTACTATTAAAGACTGAGGCAAAGAAGGCATTAAGTACCTCAGCCCTTTCCTCAGCCTTTGTGTCTGCGTTTCCTCCTGCATCCAATAAAGGATGGAGAATCTCTTTAGCCATCCTTTTGTTACTAATACAGTTATAGAAACATTTTTTATTGTCTTTTACTGCAGTAACCAGATTAAGTTCTAGTCGGGCTTTGGCCCTTCTGATTTTCTCCCTGCCTAACCTCATGACATCCTTGTAGTCCTCCTCAGTATGTTACCCCTTCATTAATGATATGCTTCATAATTATACTCTTCACTTGTAATAAGCTTCTGCATAGTGAAATGTGATGTCACAGACATTTCATCCATTTTGCTCTTTCAAGATTCAACTTTCAGCTGCAGGGCTCCTCCAACACTAGTTCAATGGTTTTTCTGCTAGTACAGCATGTCAGCCATAACAGGAGTTATATTATTAGCATTGTTTAATGGCTAAGGGATGTTCAAAAATGCATAGTAAGAAGGCAGAGGCCCCGGTGTCACAGGGGAACATTTCAGAAGTTCTGGTGTTTTGTTAAGCCTCTGATACATGTCACAACAGCAACCAGAGTCATATACCTTCTGTTAGGAAGGCTGTAGAAAATAAAGCAGTGCTTTGTAGTAAGGTGTAGCCACTGAAAAAGCAGCAGAAACTGTTTCATAAAATGCTTCTATTCTTAGGGTCTCAAAAAGTCACCAGTAGAAAGGAACTACAAACAAAGCAAGTATGGGCAGGGAGATGTGAAGTCAATCCCACAACTTTTAAAATCCCAGGTGAGACAATTTAAACTGCCACAGGAGCCAGGACCGCTGCGACAGCGCACGCCTGTGCTGCTGCTCTGTAGATGCAGTGAAGCTGCCCTGCTAGCAGCACCTTCTGACAGATAGGTCAGATACTGTGTCCTTCACTCATGAAGTGAAATCTGGCTCCGTCTAGTAGGTCCCAGCAGTCATGGGCTCCCGTCTGCTCTAGCTTGTCTGCCCTACTCCATGGGTGTCACCTCTGTGTTTCTCTTCCACCTCTCTTGGCCACCTTCTCTTAGCTGCACTCTGTTCCGAGGGGCTCCTCAGAAATTTGCCACCTCCTTCTCCTTTCCCTCCCCAGAAACCCTCATTAGTTGGAGAAATACCAAAGGGAGAAAGACAAAAAGCCATTAAGTAGTAGTGCTTAATGGAATAAAACTATCAAGAAATGCCAGTGTTTAGGAAGTAACTTCTGCCTAAGCAAACAGCATTGTTTACTGCACATGCTTGAAATATTCTCACCCTCTTCTTCCTTTACTCACGGGATTTTCCTCTCCATTAGAAATTAGCAGATAAGAGCAAATAAAAGGCTGTAATTATTGCAATGAGCCTTCCTTAGCTCAGTTCCCAGTAATAAATGCAAGTAAATACACACATGCACACACTACGGCTAAGTGTTACCAAGCTCTCACAGGACAGAAAGGATAGCTTCATGATGGTATTTATCCAAAACACAAAATTTAGAAGTATTACTGGCATCTGAAATAATGGTGAATACCATCAATCCAGGAACACAAAAGCTACAGCGTATAAGAAATAAACCAAACCTGAACACAAAGCTAAGTGAAAAATGTTACAGTGAAACACAGCTTAAGTTTCCTTACACAATGAGCTTTCAGCAAAGTCAATCTTTGTATCACCCCACACAAATCTTGTGACTAAAAAAGGATGCATCTCACTCATTATTCAACTTAACTGACAATAACTTATCATCTTATTCACAGGAAAAGCAGGAAGATCTGAATGCCTATGTGCTGGTTAATCCCATTTTAAAAATCTGTACTGTAGAATGGTAGTAACACATCAGTGAAGCAGATTAAGACCAACGGATCTCAAAACAAAGTAACCAAAGGGAAATTATTGCTAATTGGAAAGGCTCCTGGCTGGATTTATGGAGTGTCATCAGACATATTTACTCACAAGTAATACCAACTCACTGCAAAAGGAATTTGCAGACAGCCAAAGGTTATTAAGAGTGGCAAATGAGGATACCAAAAAGTCACAGGGATCCATGCGGTATATGCTAGTAAAAAGGTATGCCTCAAAGGTAACAAAAAGACTAATAAAAGCTACACAAAGTTGTATTTTATACTTTTCCTATTTTGAAAACATACCTGTTATTCATAAATCTGGGCCTGAACGGAATGGAGAGGCATCTTCATAAGCAAAATAAGCAATTCCAGATATGGAAAATAACACCCTTCATATGGATGCAAAACTAAAAATCAGTATCTTCTAGAGAACATAAAGCACTGAATGAAGGAATATATAAGTCTGCACACTTTTGAGAAAAACTTAGAATACAATCTAAGCTTCAATGTTTCAAGAAATATGTTTGTAAATGAATCTGTTTTATTAATGCAAAATGCTGGCTTCATCTTTTTATAGTTGGGATCTTGAAAGACAAGTCACAAAAACTGTCAGTGAAAGAATTTCAACATCATGATCAGAAAAATGAGTTTAACTTCTATACGGCAAAAAAGTATTCTGACAGAAAGTAAAAACTGCACAAAGCTACTGGAAAAGTGAATATTATTTAGTCCCTGAAAGCATCACGTGGTATTGTAAGTATTATTTGTGCCTGCAGTGTCTGTGAATGCTGTGCTTTTGTTCAGTCTAAGTCTAGGAAAAAGCTAAAGTTGAGTATTTAGAAGTGGTTTAGACTGTTAAATGTTTTGCTTGAACACAGGTGTTACTAGCAAGTTGAAAATACCACAAAATAATTCTGATAGTCTCCAATTGTGACATATCTTTGGAAACTGATGCTAACAGGAATCAAACAAGCCCTGCACAGTCAACTAAATATACTAGGAAAATATCTGGTGAAATCTTGATTTTGAAGAGCGCAGTATTACCTTAATGCATGTCATACTTGGACTCCTACAGTATATCTGATCATCAGATTATGTTTAAAACATAGTTCTATCAAAAGACACGAAACAGCAATAGAAGAGCGCACACAGGATGCCACAGTGTTGCACTAACAGCAGCATTAATTTTCAGACCCCATTTTTCACAATATTAACTGGATGACACTGCAAGTAGAAAAGAGTCTTTAAAAAGCTAGCACTCATATCAGTGGGATCTGAAAAGATCTAGCCAGCACTAGTCTGTCTGTTCTCAGTGGTGTGACCATAAAACCAGGTTGTGCTGTAAGAACATCTAAGGAAGACTCTTTTCTTACGGATTTATCTCCCATGTGCCATATTCCAACCTAGCCATAACCCCTTCACATCCGCTACAATCACTCACACAGACACCTGGAAAAGCTCTTCAGACAACCCTCCCATGTCCGCCTGTGCAGACCTTGTCTTTGTCCCCTTATGCTCTAGCCATCACTCCACAACTTGTATGGACACAGGCCTGTTGGAGAACTCACACAGACTGCTGGGCTCAACTAACACTTCTCCAATAGACAGGACATTCATTTGGGTTTTTTTTTCCTCCTCTACTCAGCTTTCAATTTTCAAAGACTTTCCTGAGACCTTTAGCACTCAGACAGATAGAATTATGCCTCATTACCTTAAACCAGGCTAAAAAGAAAAGTTGTTTCTAGACATCTCCGATACAAACTATATCAGAAAGTACCATACTGAAAGCATTTGATATTTTCACATGTAAACAACATGAAAGACACCTATGTTGTTTAATGTTAAAACATAAACTGTGTTCAAAGAATGGCTTAATGTCATCAGCTGCTTAAATAATACTGGGATTAGCTTGTATTTCTATGGTTGAAACCTGTAGGACTACTCGGATAAATACAATAGTACTGCTTCCTTCTAGATGCATTCAAAATGGCAACGCTGTGATCCTTTGACAAGAATACTGAGAAAAATAATGCAGACTTTTTTGCTATTTTACACCTTCCTTCAAGTGCTTGCTCCAAGTACAACTATACAAGAGTTGTCACTCTCAAGAGAAAGCATCAGTACTCAGCAAAAAAATGTGACATCTGAAAGGCATAGATCCAAGAGGAAGGAAAAAGGCTTACATAAATCATGTGCAGCTTTTCACAATACTTAGCACAAGCATAATTTTAGAGGACTGACTCCTGATAATTGACTGCTTGGTGCAAGCAGTATGCAAGAAAACCTGTTAACCTTAAAGCTGCACATAACCTCTATTTTAATGCTTTGAGCTTCACAACCCCCATTCTGCTTCAGCCCTTTTCTCCATTGCCTGACCCTCAGCTACACTTATATTATCCTAAATATAGTGCACTGACAGTAGTACAAACACCTACTTACAGGAATCATCCAGTTGGCCAGGTCACCATACTTAGACACCTGCATAGCTCCAAGCATTGTCAAATCAACATGGCCTCTGGCAACAGAAAGTGTGCAATTAGCATATCACATTCAAGTAACAGCCCACAAATCTTACAAGCTTTTGTTCACATTCTCATTACATCAATATAAAAACAGTGGCATACCACAGAGGTAGCAACCATTTTGTCACACATGTAGTTGTGGGGAAGCTTCCCCTCTAGATGTATCGCTGAAGCAAATTTTTCTGTCTGCCTAGTGAGCCTCAAAAACGTTATTACTTTTGTCTGGTTTTGGTTAATTGCATGCACAGTCAATCACCTCTGAACTCATACTTTTAAGTGCACTCCTTCACATATTTACATGCACTCATTATCTTTTCAGAGCCATTAGGATTTAGTGTCTGTTTGCATCCAACCTCCTACCCAAAAAACAAACAAAAAACAGGTGCAGATGGTGGATTTCCATTAGGGAGGTGGAATGAGAACCAAAGTTGCAAGCTGAGCAAAGAGAATACACAGAGTGCAAGTACAGATTAGATACTTGGAAATGACCAAAAAGTAGCTGTTAAAACAGTTATAAATGTGTTTATATATGGCCAGGTGATGGAAGACATGAACATCACTATGGTATCTATTAGTTACAGTGTTTTTCTATTTCCAATAGCTAGACCTAATCCTCTGTAAACCACCACTGATTAAGTCCATGATCATTTTCACAGGTTGTTAAATGCTAACCACATTTCAAAGAATTACTAATGAGTTCAGTCACTGACTCAGTTTATTCATGTTTCAAAAGATCAGGGTTTGTGTTGTTACATACCCTCTTATCATCGCAAACGATTCATCACTAGAGAAATAGGAAGAACCTGGAAGAACCGTGACTGTCTCCTTACCTGTAAAAGAAATAAGCTACAGTATGTATGCATTTTGTCTCTTTGACAAATGAAGTCTATGCTATTAACCTAGAAATTAACCTAGCTATCAACCGAGGAATAAGGGGGGGGTTTTATCCAATTCTTTTGGATTATGCACAACTATGGACCTGATTACACTTACTATGTCACCGGTAAACCTAATCAATCACAACAAATTTTGAAGCGGTTTATGACATTTTTTAATGATAGGATTGCCCACTCTTTGACTACCACCAGTTCCAGGCAAGACATCACTGACACCAGGGGCTAAGAAATCTCTGTGGAATCAGCTTTCTGCTCTATCCACATAAAAAGTGAGAGGCAACTCTCTTTTGAAACAGAGAGACAGGGAGATTGCAAGGAAAAGCGAGCAGACCAGATTGAAGCCTGGAGTGATAATGATGTAGAATACAGAAAAATAAATGACAGATCTAGACTACTCTTGCTTTGTTAACGTTCACAGGAAAATGTCCTTCTGTGTGCTGTACTGTTCTCTGCACAGTGCTTGGGTCAAGCAATGGAGCACACACGGAAGTGTCTCATTTTGACTCTGTGCAGAGCCCTCTCTTTCCTCTCCTGCCAGCACTTTGAATCAGTCTAAGCAACAACCATGTGTACAGAGTGCCTCTGGAAAGGCTTAAGAAACATGGCCGAAGGTGAAATTATAAACCAAGCGTGGGAAACTTGAGAGGAAAAAAAAAACAAAACAAAAATCTTTAGCACCAGATGACATTGTGAAGGAAAAGTTAGTGTAACAACAAAGGAGAAGAGGAATGAGACATCACTAAACAGTTTCCAGAAAACAGGGGAAAAGAGATTAACTAAGAGGCTGGGAAAGGGAAGGAAACACTGTATGAAAGTTAAAATAGAGACCTAGGCTACCTGCTTTAATTTATTGAGTTCACTTGATGTGTATTATATGCCAAGACATTGTATGGAAATGAAATTTCGACACACAAAATAGTATAGAATTAAGGTCAGACAAGCAATCTTGCAGTCAGATCACAAGAATTCACCATGCTAACATCCAGACCTGCTGAGACTGCCTGCATTGTCT